TGCCTACAGTGTGCCAGGCATCCTTGGGTTTTACAGTAAAAGGCATAGCCAGTGCACTAAAGGAGCAGATAAAATGTAACAACTCTAATACTGTGTGAGAACTATGAAGATACTGTCTTTTTGGAGTTGAATGAAGTATAACAATAATTTAGGTGCCTGGAGATCTTTGCTGTGGTGCAAAATCGTCAGCTTTTTGTGGCAGTTGAGATTTCTCATCCTTAAGAGTTTACAGAGGGGCTGGCCCGGTGGCACAAGCAGTTAAGTGCGTGTGCTCTGCTGCGGCGGCCCAGGGTTCGCCGGTTTGGATCCCAGGCGTGCACCGACGCACCGCTTGTTAAGCCAGGCTGTGGCGGTGTCCCATATAAAGTAGAGGAGGATGGGCACGGATGTTAGCCCAGGGCCAATCTTCCTCAGTAAAAAAAGAGGAGGATTGGCATGGATGTTAGCTCAGGGCTAGTCTTCCTCACAAAAAAAAAAAAAAAAGAGTTTACAGAAAAACTTGGCCATTTCCTGTGTTGTTAGTTGTACTATTAGAAATTTCAGCACGTGTGTTTCTAAACCAATGGGAAAAATCAGTGGTATATGAAAGAAAATTACAAAAAATTGCTTTCACTCCATTATGTTTTTCCTGTGTTTTATATAGTTAGGATTATTCTCGAAAATGTCTCATTCTTGAAGCCAGCTCATGTCCCAGACCAAAAACAATGCCTTATATATAGCAGAGGTTTGATAAATATTTGAAAATATGATTGAGTGATATAGGACATATACAAATATTATTGTACAGAAAATAGTATTTAAAAGAAATCTTTTATGGCCTCAAATGTGAAAAACTTTCCTAAAAGGTTTAAAAAGCAGGTAGCCCCTGCTTTTGAATGAGATGCCAGGCAAATGAATTACAATTCCAGGCAGCCACGTATAAGTGACCTTGCTTGCATGACTCGCCAACCCTGCCTTCATTCAGGGCAGTTTCCTGGTCCTCAGGCTTTGCTCTTGGGTGACAGAAAATTTAGGTCAGGAGGACACGAAGCACAGTGGCAGTTTCTCAGCAGTTTAGGACTTTGCTTCCTGGGCAGCAGCGGGGCTACGCAGCACGACAGGTACACACCGGAGCCTTCTCCTTTCAGATACGGTGTGGAGATCGGCTCCTCCACCAGCATCACGGGGCCCAGCGTCCCCGCCAGGACTCGGGAGGTGCTCACCAGCCACCTGGCGTCTTACAACATGTGGGCCCTGCAAGGTATGCCTGCACTTCCGGTGGGCTTGGGCATCCGGAGGAGTGCTCTCGGGGTGGCTCTGATGCCAGCCCTCTTACTCAGCCTGAGGGCACAGCGGGCTCAACCCCTTTCAGGAGGAAGTTGGCTTCCTATTCTTAGTCAGGAGTTCAGGTCTCATTGGCCTGGCCCGGGTTACATGCCCAGTCGTGAACCAATCACTGGGCCAGGTTCAGGTCATGTGCCCACCCCAGGTGGGAGAAAGGAGGGATCACCCCAAGGAAGACCAGAGTGCTCTTTGAGAAGAACGGGGCCTGGTTGCAGAGCCAGAAAGCAATGTTCCCACTTGGCCCCTTTGCGCCTCTCCTCTTCTCTCCTGGGGCTGCAGGCACGCACAGGAGCGGGCCCAGCACCTGCTGTTTCGGGCAGGGTGCCGAGTCCAAACTTGGCTTGTGTCCCTGCAGGGATCGAGTTTGTAGTGACCCAGCTCAAGTCCATGGTGCTGACCTTGGGCCTAATTGACCTGCGCCTGTCTGTGGAGCAGGCCGTGCTGCTGTCACGCCTGGAGGAGGAGTACCAGGTGAGGGTACCTCCAGTCCCCGCCTCCCCCTCCCCGATTCAGACTAACGGGGGGGTGGCTAACTCGTCTGTTTTTATGTAAACTTGGTCTTGATTACTTTCATGTACAAACAGAAACCAAAATGAAGGGCCAAATTATCGTCAAGTAACAATAATAAAAAAACGACGGGAGTAAGTGCTATTGCCGTGTCCAGCACCGTGCTCGGCTCTCCCCTCATCGCCTCATCTCCTCTTCCCTACAGCCTGGTGAGGGGGGCTGCTGTTCTTCCATTTGACACAGGAGGGAACTGAGGCGTGGGTCACATTCTCGGAAAAGGCTGGAACCAGGGTTTGGAGCCAGGTCTAGTGACTCTGGGCCAGGGCCTTCCCGACTCGCAGGTAGAGGTTCCTGGGCAGACCCAGATCGTTTGGGTCTGACACACCTGCAGAGTGGGCCCTGCTGGAATGACTGGGACCCACGTCTGTGCTCCGACACAGGCTGAGCCTTCGCACCTGCTGTTCACACGGCGGGTCGTCTGGCCGGCAGGGAGCGCACGAGTCACTGCTGTTTGTACACAAGTTTGGATTTACTGGGCTTGGGATGAATAAGGATTTGCTGCCCTGTCATTCGCATTTTTTAACTCTGAGAATCATGGCAGTCTTTGCGGGCTTTTTGTCTGGTTCTTATTTGTCCAACCTCATAAGGTTAATTGCTGTTACAGATTGATTCCTAGGATGATGAAACTTCTGTTGTAATGTCTATATTTCCCAAGTCCATCTAGTCATCTGCTCAGGAAAATACCTGGGAAAAAACTGTTTCTGTGTCGTAAAAGGGGCTAGCTAGTCTCTGGATGTTAGAGACGATTAAATGGGAAGAGGGGTGAGCTGTGGGGGTGTGAGGCGGTGAGGGCTGGGGGAGGTGGGAGCCAGGAAGCCTGGTTTCTGGTCTGGACTCTGCTTTTGACTGTGGAACCTGAGCCAGGCCATCTCTGAACTTCAGGTTCGCTCTGCCACACAATGGGCAGGAACCTGGATTATGCCCAGGAGTGCTCTGAAAGTTAGCATGCTCTTCACACGACATGTCACAGTTGTCCATTTGAGACTGGGCTGCCCAGAAATGCTGACAGCTTGTGAGGTCTGGCAGATTCTGAACCTGCACAGGCTGGGGCCCCCAGGCCAGGCCTCCTGGACCCCTGGCCAGGGAGAAGCCAGCAGAGTCGGGTTGGAGTCGCCCTGACACCTGGACAGCCACACAGTGTGTCCAGGGTTCCTCCCTCCAGTTCTAGAGTCTGGAGGGAGAATCTGCAGCCCTGCCCTAGTGTGCGGAGCAGAGGGGCCTCTGCAGGACTGCAGCTCCCCAGGAGTCAGAACGGAGGCAGCCGTGTGGCCTTGTTTGATCTGTTTATCACGCCCATGTTGGGGGCACATGCAGCCCAGGCTGGTGAGGCAGCTCATAGCGGATGACACTTTACAGGCTGCCTCATGCTGGCTTCCTCATGGGAAGAAGCATGAGAGAAGGGACGGCACAGGTTGGGCCTCCTCGGGGGAGACGTGCTTTTGGTACCTGGCCCAGCGAGCAGTGGGCACCCACTGGCTCTGGGCCTGGACTGCACTCCTCCCAGACCAGCTGTGGCCACCTGCGTGTTCTTACCTGCTGCCCCGCCCCATGCAAGTCCTGTGTATTTTGGCAAGATCGGACCCTCTGGCCCTCGGCCCAGCTAGGGGGTGGAATGAGGCTCTGGCCAGCAGGCAGCCAGGCACTAGCCACTCCCCTAGCAGCATGTCTTGTCCCTCCCTCAGATCCAGAAGTGGGGCAACATCGAGTGGGCCCACGACTATGAGCTGCAGGAGCTGCGGGCGCGCACGGCCGCTGGCGCCCTCTTCGTCCACCTCTGCTCCGAGAGCAGCACAGTCAGGCACAGGCTCCTGCAGGAGTGAGGCCCGGGCCCGCGCACCACACACCCGCAGGACAGACTGCATGGTGGCGTGGCTCCCTGGCTCGGCCTCCGCTTGCATCGTGCTGAAACGCCCCCAAGACGCGTGTGAGACGGCAGTCAGCTGAGTCCAGCCCTGCCCCGCCAGCCTCGAATGAGGGGACAAGTTGTGTGAGTGAGTTTCTCTCGACCCCGAAGTTATTAAATATTTCTCCACCCTGGAAGCGTGTCGAGCCCTGCTTTCATTTGTGCCTCCACTTTTCTCCAGTCCTCTTGTTAGGTCTGGGCTTCACTAGGGCCCCCAGCTTCCCTCCCACAGCACGTCCTGGTATCTGCCACCTGTGGCCAGCCCGGAGCCTCACCCTGCGGAAGTCATGTCAACAGACAGCTCTGTGTGTGGTCCTCAGCCCTCAGCCTGAAGGCTTTTTGTTCCTGGTTTTTAATCAAAAGATCTTTCGAAAGTGAGTCCTTCTTGGTCTAAGCTGGTTGTTTCTCTTTGTTCCTACTATTTTAGAAAAAATGATTTACTCTTGAAAATAGAAAATATACATCGTCTCTGGGTTAAAAGCCCGGGCAGCCCAGGGCAAGGCCACCTGACGTGTGTGCACCTGTCCTGCTCAGGGGGCCCGAGAGTCCCTCCACCCTGGCCACTTGCGCGGTCCTGGGAGGCAGGCGCCGTCTCCTGGTGCGGGGCCCAGTGGGAGGGAGGCAGGGAGGGTCTGGTTTCAGGCAGCAAGTCTTTCTGAGCGGCCCGTCCTTGCACACCTGAGTAACGAAATGTATCACCTCTGTTCACGGGGCGCTGGCCACACGCCGGTGCTTCTCCACGTGTTCTCTGCGCTCTCCCTGAAGCCCTCGACCATGCTCAGAGGAGGCCCTTCATATCCCCACTTCACAGATGGAGCTCAGGCTGCAGAGGAGGCGTGCGATGCCCAGCCTGTGTTCTTAACCTCCGGAGGGTCCTCGGGTCCCTGCGGCCAAGCTCAGAGCCACAGGGAGCTGTGGCCCCCACCTGGCAGGCTGGCCCAGGCCCCAGCGCTGTGCTGCAGCCCCTCCTGCTCCACTCCTCAGTGCCCAGAGGAGAGCAGGGCTTGGTCCCCATCCGCCGCCTCTGCCTACAGCATGGGGCACACGGCCGACATCAGGCCACTGCGGAGAGGCTAGCCCACTGGCAGCCCCCTTGGGAGCTGCTGTCAGTGGACTGGCCAACTGCAAGGCCAACTGCTTGTCTTGGCCTTTTTCTCCTGCTCGTACATGAACGTGAATTCTGATTATTTTTTTAAAGCATGGAGAAAAGGTGACGTAAGTCCTTTATTTTTCTCTACATTGGGAAGTTTTTCCAGGGGTTGGAGAAGCATGGTGTAATGGGGGTCATGGGTTGAGAAATCCCCAAGAACGCTCTTCTGAGGCCGTCAGTGACGTGTGCACTTTCCTGGCCAGGGCGAGTGCTGTGTTTTCAAAAGCAGCCTTCTGGGCAGACGCCCCTAGTCTACAGCATCACCACACTCCAGGTTGTCCAGTTCGTTCTGCACGTGGTCGATGTACTGATGGATCTCCTTCACACGCTTGCGGTTCCTCGTGGTCTCGTCCTGATGAATCTGGGGTGAAACCAGAGCCCCATGCCCTGATGTCAGATGACTGGTTAATGTCTGTTACTGAGTCCAGTTTGGGGGAAAGGAAAGTAGTTCTTTGAAATTTGTCTAGTTACGTCCCTCGTTTACTTCAAAGCCTCCTGTGTTCTGCTTATCTATGTATTTGAGGTAAGAGTAGAAAAATGATGAGGCACCTGGGTTTTAAAGTCTGACTGGGCAACATCAGATCTTCAGTGTAAAAAAACAGGCAGAGGAAATGAACAGACACTTCTCCAAAGAAGATATACAGATGGCCAATAGGCACATGAAAAGATGTTCAACATCACTAATCATCAGGGAAATG